TAGGCAAGAAAAAAACCTTCACATTTCTCTAGCCTCCGAACATCGCGGGAATGCCAGGAGACCTTTTAAGTAATAGCAAACATTATGAAATGGAAGAGGACATAAAAGAAAATGTTAATACCTCAGGAGTACTCCGGTCCTTCCTAACTTTCCGCACTAGGGCAAGAACTTCATGTATACTTGGGCATCCAGAATCTTATAAAATATTTTCTTTGCATATGCCAAGACTTTATCTGTTCATTTTAGCTTGGACCTGCAGGAACGCTTGCAAAATGAAATTGGAAAAGGGAAACAGGAGTGGAAATACACAGCTAAATTCTCCACTTTATGTGGTTAAGAAGAATACAGATTACTATTGGTGGAAAAAGAAACCAACCGCCCTCCTTTTCCCAAATAGTAAAATACGTTTTTGGCCAGAGAAACAATGTAAATTAGTCTACACATATTATTTATCAAATGCTGTCAATTCACACGGTCCTTGTACTCTCTAGAGGGCCTCACAGTTTAAAGCCCAAATCCTGAAAGGAGATCTGCGTAGGGGAGCCCCTGCCTTAACGCTGACTTCCAGCCACAGCAGGTCCCTGTGTGGACACAGAGCATCACGTTACAAGACAGGGACCCAACTGATGTTAATTGTACCAGGTAGCTACTAATTACGTTGATACACAAACCGGGGGAAATTGCCAGACAGACTGCTTGGGGAGTCGTCCCCTGGACCAAAAGTCAGCGTGCAGCACTCTCAGCAAAGTAACCCTTCCCAGCAGAGTTTCTTCATTTGCTAATTTCATTCATTATGCCAAGAGTGAGTTTGTTTGACTTCTCTGGGAAACGGGCTTGCACTTCTGAAGCAGACAAAAACACTGCAAGGAGACACCGCACTTTTCAAACATGAATTATGTTCTTGGTGCTGGGCAAGCGAGAAGATAAAATATGCATTCATGCCGAAACTGTGGGTTTGAGTTCTTTTATCTGAGACATAAAAAGAAGGTCTCCCTGGAGTAACTCATTGACCTGAAGTGCTTGTTGATAGCGGCCTTAAAACCTGAGAAGGCTCGCTGGCCAGATTAGCAGAACTACATGACAATTGGTGTTTGAACTAAACACTGTACTCACGAGTACAAGGTTTGTTGCTGTTTTATTCGTAGCAGTATATTTTTTACAAGACAAGATAAAAATGAGTACCACTTGTAGAAAATGGAAGAGACGGCTTCTCTAACTGCGCCAAACGGGTGGGTGAATACTGACTTCTCCTAAGGCTCTGTCAAAGACCAACGGCTTACTAGGATATGAGTAACATTGGATGACTGCCAGTCTTTAACCTGTGCTAAAAGCTTTTCACAGCGTACACCAGCCTTCAGCCTCATGTTCCCTGCTCAGTACAAGCCAAGTGTAAACGATACGCTTTACTGAAATATGTCTTTACTTCTAAATAACTCTGAAGTCACAGTAATTTGAATTAATTAATAGGTAGAGTACCTCTGTGCAGATCTGGGACAATCTCTGTGTGGTCAGTCAGACCAAAGATGTGTGTACTGCCACAAAACTTGAGGGCTGATCTCTGCTATCACAAAGGTTTATGAATAGGTTTCCAAGCAGAGAGAGGGAGAGAAAGAAGAGTTCAAGGTTCCTGGTACACAGTTGCTCATCGTTGTTTATGTACTGAATTAGATAACATGCATTTTCACATCCCATTTAACTGAATGTATTCAAACATGGTAACTTGAAAGCTAAATATTCAGAAGACTTTGAGCAACCGCAACTATTGCATTTTTTTTTTGTCAAGTGCTAAGGTAAAAAACATGTTTGCTGTTCCAAATAAGGATTTTCTTTCTCCCTGTTATCAGTCTTAAAATTGCTACTTAGAACCCAAACAAATATGGCTTTGACACCCCTATGTTGTTTTTACAAGCAGAGTTCTTGAAATGAAGTTGTATGTCTGTGTGTGTAACTGATTGATTGATTCCGCAGTTTTGCTACCATCATAACCTTGTGTTCTGTAACTCACGGACCGTTTTGTCCTTTGGGCTCTTTGAAGCTTACATTGTAAGGCTGCTGCCAGATTTGTCAGTAAGTAAATCAGTAAAATTAGATAAGCTCCCCTTTGATTGATGAAGGTGTTGAAGATTATCTTGCTGTGGTATGCAATGGCTCAATGACTTTTTACTCGTTTTGAAACAAACACCACCAAAAAAATGTGTAAAGAATTTCTTCTCTGTTACACAGTCCTGCAGTAGATGGAGGCGCTGCCACCAGAGTGGGCCACCGTATGCTGCCTTCCTATAGCCCTGCGTGTTCCTCAGCTGCATATTCCGGCATGGCATTTTGTTTCCCAGAGGGACCCATACCATCAATACAAACGCTGAACTCCATTTAACCTTCCATTTCCAAGCTTATGTTTCTATTTTAATTACCTCTCCAGCCTTGTGCTTAAAAAAACTTTTATATGTTATATATTTGTTATATTTGTATGTGAATGTGATATACCGGGGTTTTTTTGACCTTTTATGCCAGGTATCCAACTATTATATTCTTTAAGAAGTTTTTCATATATGTTTTGATGTGAAACTAGAGATACAGATGTGACGGGATTAATAACAGGATCCAGATCTGTGACTAAGTCTGACCCAAGGCAGGGCAGCAGTTTGAAGTTACTGTTGTTCTGTGGCCCATGTAAAATGAGCCTGCAGATTTGTTTTATTTCTCGGTAGACAGAAAGCTGTACATTGGTGATGAGGTAAGCCAGAGAATGAAGGCACATATAGCCTGAACTGCATTCATGGCCAGGCTGACTGGCAGCGATGGGGCATGAGGAAAGGTCTTTGGTCTCCCATGCTGTGACTCCTTACGCAGGCTCTCTGCTTCACAAACACTCAGTCTGGAGCTTTCCCAGTAGACGATACCTATTTTACTTTAATACCCACTTCAGTCACCTCCCACTTAAGGGTGACTTGTATTTGCACTGTATAAAGACTGGTGCCCTTATTTTTACTCCAGCCTTCAAAATAAGAACTGCCTGTCTCAGAGCCACTTGACTCCATTAAGACCTGAATAATAGCAGGATGATTAGTAGATGTGATACTAGTACAGTCTCAGTTTCATCCAGAAGAATAAATAGAGCTAGTTGTTTGGGAAAAGAAGAATTCCAGTGGGAATAAAGACAAATATTGTGACATTTTTCTTTGAAAATGTAGCGTTCAGAAATAGAAGATGCACGCATCTTGGGGAATTTTTTCATTTTGTGACATACTGCAAACTTAAGTGGTTAGCGGGCAGAAAAGCCAAGTGAGCTGGATGAATATCCAAACAGAGAAACCTGGCTAAAGGGAACAAATAATGCTGGAATGGTGATGAAACATGTTTTCAAGTAAACATCATAATAAGGCAATGGGAGGGGTACCATTCCCCACAAAAATGGCAGTGGTGAACAGAGAAATGCTCAAAAGCGTTGCCTTTAACTAAAGGATTCAGTAGCTTTTTGGACAGCGAAATGAAGGGAAAGCATCCCCCGGCAACCAGTGATCTAACACACATACCACACTCCCGTTCTTGAGGGATTCCCAGCTGTAGTCACCTACCGCGCACCTACGCCCCGACACAGTCATCTAGCAGGCATGTGTGACTGAAGCCATTCACTTTAAGAAATCAGAGAGATGTTTTCCAATGAGGAAAGGAGATCATCTCTGGAGAAATCTAAATTTCAATTATTCGGTTTATTATATAAGTACATTAAACATAGCGGGCGTCTTCTGATCAGCCTTCATACAGTATCTGCCTTTCTTGGAGAATTGCCACAGCAAACTCGGCCTGTGGAACAGCGTGGGAGCTTGCGCAGCCACAAAACCCTGCTGCCGCCCACCTGTCTGCAAACTGAAATGTGCTGGGGGCAGCAGAAAGGAAAACCTGAAGAGCTCAGCGCTATGGGGCCAAGGAAAACTGGAGCTCACCTCTGCAGGGATGGAGAGTTCTTGCCTCCCCTGCGAGCAGCCTAGGAGGAATCTGCTTTCGGCCTTTACGTGGATTTTGGTCCCTTTCCCTCATCTTCAGAGCCCCGAGGGGGCTGCAGGTGCTAAAGTCACAGCAGTGAGACGTTTTGTGGACAGGCACCTAAGGAAGAGACAGAGACTGTCTTTGAATAAGCCCTGACATCCACTGCCTGACTGCTGCGGGCTGACACATAGAATGGGACCAAGAAAAAAAGGTCTCAGTTACCTGTCCTGAGGCCCTGACCCGTACTACATTGGCATTGAGGCAGCACGTGTCCTGCTCCTAGCCACTTGAAATGGGGCTGGTCTAGTTGCTTCTCAGAAGTGTGTTTTCCATTAAGCAACTCTAGACAAGTTTTTCAGTCAATAAAGGTGACGTGTGGAAAGACAAGTAAGAAAATTTAGAAAAGACGAGATCGAGACATTTCATATTTTAAAGAAATCTACACAATGGAAATAACTGCAATTTAAATGACAGTACACTTTTTTCCCTTAGCAGTACCATTTTTGTCACTGGAAAAAAATAATCCTCTCAGCTTATTATTACTGCGGTCAAAACCAGCAGCATCCAGAAAGCAAATGTTTTCAATGATAATCTAACAAAAATAACAACTGGTTCTCTGGCGTGTTATTTGTTTGAATTGTATGGTCTCTCTAACTTGGACTGCGAGCTCCTTGCGGAGCGCTGGCGGCACTTGCAACCGCGACGAAACAAGATCCATTCTCACCCGGGACAAGTGAAGCTCCTCTGTGCTGTCCTGCTCCTTTAGGGCTTGTAGCACTGCAGACCCAGAGCATGCCACAAATACCCCTCCTTCGCTGGCCTGCACTCCCTTGCAGATTTTGACTGACTCGGTAACATCATGAATTCTACTGGACTTCAGTCACCTTGCCCAAAAAGACGAAGAACAGCAAGAGAGAGGCACATCCTAGCTGAATTCAGTTCAAGTTTCAGCACGCCTCTTCTGTCCCCAAGTCTGTTTGCCCCCTTAGAATGTCAAGGAAAAAGAAACAATATATAATCTAATATTTTTAATTTTATGTACAGGAATATAACGTTATGGCAACTTTGTACATGAAATACATTATTTAAACATGAAAATCAGCTAGGTAAGAATTTACATTAGCAATGAAACTGCTTCATCTGCAGCCCAGTTAATACTTAGTTTAGATCTGTAATTTATTGGGAAGATATTTTAATAGTTTACAATCATAGAAACATAAACATTTAAAACAAGACTCTATAAAATAATTTACAGGAACCCTACCATCTACACTGAGAGAAAGGGTGTAGGTCTGTGAGTTTTGTGTGTGGATAACAAGGTGGACGGATGATGTATCTCAGCCTTTTAAGTATAAAATAATTTAGAAGCAGTTCATGCAATATGGAAGCAAAGGAGTGCCAATCCCTTCGAGGTTTCCTGCTACCTTGGACATCTACTGAGCATCACATGTGGGTCACCGGACACACGATAACAGCGTTGCCAGATGCTACCAGAGAGCACCAGCCTCAGTTCCTCCAATTACTTATGTAAACATAAATATACAAGCTGATATCTTTTCTACACAGTACAAATACAGGTCACAACTTCTCAGCTGTGCAAGTAGTCAATCTGTATACTTGGAAGTAGCATAGTGTTCAGACGGGAGTTCCATATATTTCTATGTACAGGGGCACTAACAGAACTTCCTCGTTTTCACCAATTTGCTCTGATATTTCACGGAGTGCCCGCCGTGCCCGATCACATAAACGTCCAGCAGGTAGGACTTGCCAGGTTGCAGGCCTCTGATTGTCTCTGTGGTCACTGCTTTCTGGATGTTCTGGCTGTGGAAGTATTTACAGAGAACCTTTTCCGATTTCTTCCTCGTATCCGGACCCAAGCACTGGTTCTGCTCTCTTTTCTTCTGCTCTTCATTGTAATTGTCATCCACTTCCCTTTTGTAGATGCAGAATTTGTTTCTCTCCTGCGTGCCCAGCCACGCCACCGTGACCGAAGAACACGTGCGGAGTTTGTCAAAAGCTTTGATTCGTGTATCTTCAGGAAGAGAAGGAAACGACTGCTTGTTAGGCCTTGTCGTAGCCAGGATCTTCAGCATAGAAGCACCTTTTTTGCTTCCTTTCAGCCTAATGAGGTATTTAGCTTTTGCTTTTCCCCGAAGCTGGAACTGCCGCACACCCTCCACGTTTTGAGACAAGAGAAGTTTTCCATCTCTTCTCACTTGGATCTGAACAGCATCCAGGCACGAATGAATGGAGAAGGTGACTTTTTGGTGAGATGAAACGGGAGCAAACCGTAGAAATTTGGCTCCCTTTCTCTTGATGAACACATCTGTAACTTTGCCGTCCTTCAGTTCGACTGTTTTCTGTTTAGCCTCCTCCTTCGTTCTGGCAAAGGTGCCAACATACGCGGTGCTCATGTTAGTGTTGGTATTTACCGCAAACATGTCAAAGTAGTACTGCGTATCGGGCTTCAGGTCAGACACTGTGAAGATGTTCTTGTTCCCGATACAAACTTTATGCAGGTCAACTCTCGGCTTTGAGGGCGTTTGGCGCCCAAACTTTGATGATGATTTCAGGAAACCACGTTCTTTGCCAGAGTTGTTGTCCGAGGGAAAGCCAAAATGGGCAAAGTCAAATGGACTGAAATCCAGACCTGGTTTTGGAGCCATCATGAAGGCATCATCAGAACTGAGCTTGGCTTCAACAGCACAGAGGCTTTTGAAATTGTGTTCTTTATTGATGACTATGCAATACTGAATTGGCTGCTTTAGTAAGGAGGCGGTGGGACTTGGTTTCCACGCCAGCGTCACTGTTGTACGTCCCAGAGAAGTGACATCGATTCTGGGATCGTAAGGTAATTCAGGATAAGGTTGGTCTGACTCTGGAGTAGTGGTTGCGTACACTTTGAAATGTGTATCTTTCTCTGTCGACAGCAGATCTAGTTGGTACAAACCAGATGGGGAACTAGAGGACACAAAGTACTCAACATCATTGCCTTTGTAAGAGAACAGCTCGGTGCCTTCCTCATTAGTAATCTGCTGTTTCTGTTGCTCAAGAGGTTCCGGTTCACCTAGATTACAAGCAAAGAAAAACATTTGTACAGACACAATCTGCGAATATGAGAAAATAAAACTCTTAACAGATTCTTCTACATAAAATACAAAAGTGAGATGAAAAAGAAAGGTTTTATCTTCTGAGGAAGATGTAATCAATACTTCTGTCAAATCAGAGAGGCAAATTGGTTTGGCATTCAGGTTAAAACCAAACGCAATAGAAATTGCACCTGACCAGTATTGATGGAGTCTCGTGAATGGTAGCTAATACCTTCCACTAGCGTGCTTCAAGAACCCAACTTGCAGATGCCATACAGTTCCCCAGGGGGAACTGACTCTGCTGCCTGTTTCTGGACCTGGGCCCTTAGCTTCAGCCCTCGGAGTTATGCTAAAATTTTGTGCCTAAATACAGTGGGGGCCAAAGCTGTGCATACCATACAATGTGTGTGTGACATTTTAGCACTTGTGTGAGAGGCTCTGGAAGCCAAAGACCTTTTCTCTCTCGAGTAGCAGTTATATGGCTATTTCCAAATAAGCTCCATGTCTACAGATGAGTCCCCTCAAAGGGGCAAGCTTGGCCCTGCTGCAATGCCAGCCCTGTCTCTCCAGTTCTTATCTTGTGTACGCAGCTCACAGCAAAGCCCCCGTGAAACTGAGTTGCTCTGGGCAAACACAGTTTGTTGTGGCAGCATCCAGTGCACTCTCTAACTACAACCTCAGCTTTTACTTTTACTTTCTTACAGCCCTATTGCTTGTCATTTTGCTACCTGCTGCCAGTTTCCTGCACAACGGCAGGACTGGGGCTGAAGATCCAAACAGCAGGAGATCATAAAGATGGGCCTGCTGTGAGACTCAGTGTCACACTGAGACCAGTTTGAGGGGCTTCAAATCCAGGAGAAAAGCAGGTCTCTGAGGTGCAAGGGAAGTTGTCGATGGTTTGTTACCTGAACTTTCTCCACTGGCTTCCTCCGGGAGCTCTTGCACACTCAGTTTCCACTCCAGAGGGGCATCGCATGGTGTCACTGTCACTGCTAAGGGAGTGTTGTCCTCTTCAACCACAAAGAAGTACCTAGGGGAAGGTTAACAGACCCACACGTCAGTAAATCCTGATGGCAGCCAACCGGCAGGGACTGACTTGACACTATCAAGGTTGATCTTGGTGGAGCAACAGAGACAAAAGCGTTACTTACAGGCAAGCGTGTGCAGAGGGAATACGGAAAGGCCGCTGGGCGAGAGCTAGGGAGGTGAGGGGAGTCCCCCCCCCCCTAAAACGGTGCTGCAGAGTTCACACTTTGCTTGCCAAGACACGGCAGAGGGGTTTCTGGCCGCCTGCCCTCCCCTCCGTCAGCTTCCCTTTTCACCCCTACACTAACTATATACAGCATAAATGGTCACAAAGGTATAAATGAGGGAAACGGGATCTTTCTGGAATTCAGGGATATGCTCTTCAAAGCAGGACGCTCATTTTATGCTATGTCCAGGTGAGTGCTCTAGAAGCACATACAGATACACACACCTTCAGCTGTCCTCCCGCATCCCTCCAAGCACTATGCGTCATTTATTGTAAAGTGTTTCTCACTGTGGAAGGCTGAAGGAGGTGTAAGCTATGAAGAGGAAGGTGGCAATGCTAGTTTTCCCTGAACTCTCTGGAGCCTCAGGTTCTTCCCCAGTCTAACCTTGGTATTTTCTGACCCACAGGGTCGAGTTTGGGAAGTGGGGAGTTCAGACCAGACTGGCTTACGCTGCTTCTTTAAAGCACAATATGAAATAATGAAGAGAGACAAGTGTGGTGGGGTAAGCCTGTAGTTTCTAATTTCCTTCCCGCTCCCTTTGCTTCCAGGCACGGTTTGTGGCCCCACTTCAGGGAACTTCTGCGGTCTGTGGGAGCTCTGGGTTTATCCCAGAAATCAAGTAAATTGGATAGACCCTCAGCTGGGGAGGCCAGATTGGGATGGAAACTCTCATAGTTAGTTACTTCACCAGACAGAACACTGGCAATTGAATTTTTCTGGTTTAGATCCAATTTTTATTTAAAAACACCCAGCAAATAAAGCTAGTATCTTCAAAGTACAACTTCCTCACTTGAGCCAGACAGAAATACCTTTTAGGGGTGTCTCGGAAGAGGTAGCTGCTAATTTCGGCTCCATCTGGGATGACTGATGAATCGTGAAAAAACGCTTTGTCCCGGATCTGCATTTGGAAGAGTTCCTCATCTCTGGTAGGTAACTTCTGGGGCCTGGAGCTGAGCGGCAGCAGCAGCAGCAGCGGGCAGCACAGCAGGAGCATCCTACAGCAACGAGAGGGAGTCCCACCTGAGGAGGGCTGCACCACACGCAGCAGGAGCAGCTGCCAGCTTGTCCCACGCTAGTGGGCAAGACTGTGGTGAAGGACTGGTTTATTCGTGACCCGCGGTGGCTGACTCGGCTAGCTGCAAACTTGCGTGGCTCTTGTGGGCTGATTTACTGCTGAAACACGGGCATACCTATAACAACGTCTCATGCATTTCATGTTTTGCAGGCACCTTCACTGTACTGCCGTACAAGCACTAGGAATACGTATTATAAGGACTAAGCTTGCATCGTCACAGTGCTTGGAAAAAGTATGTAAATAAGGGTTGTTTTCCATCTTGAACTGTAATTGAAAGCAAGCCCGCACACTGGTTGCAAATTGGTATCTCTCCTTCTTATTAACAAAGAGCAAAAGCCGTCCACATACTTTGGTAGAGCTACAGTTTGATGTTTTGCCATAGCAGAAACAGAGCTCGCTGGACGTGGGAGCTAGAGTATGCACAGAGCAGATGGAGGGTACATCACTTTCCTTCAGAGATTCTGGTTGGGCTTCTAACAATCCTTTGAAAAATAAATATTTCCAGTGAAATTGTTCTGTATAAAAATAGTGAATTAGGAAAACACGTGACATAAACCCACACATATTCAAGGCACATTGGTATTAGCATGTAATTCAGCAGGGCTTAATCCTCAAGCCTGATGGGAATTGTAAAACACAAAAGCAGAGAATCCCTTACAAATTAGGCATAATAATTCATAATCTCAGCCTTTCATTATTATGTCTACAACTAGGTCAGTAATGACTACCCATTATATATACCCAAATATACAGTGGGACAGACTGGAAATCTCCTTTCCGTACAGTAGATGATCTCATATGTAATGGCTCTGGTATGGGGGGGGTTACAGGGGGGGAAACAAAGCCCATTTCTGGTACGAATATAGTGAGTTCAAATTGCTAAATGACGACATTTTTTAAAATTAGAAAGAGGAGGTTTAAGCCATTACCTAAACTGGGTTAGCCACTGGCTTTAGGGAGAAGCATGACAAAAATCTGAGCTGGCAGGAACAGTTTTTATCTTGTTGTTACTTGGCTGAATGTGCGGTCATGCACCGCTCCTTGTACTGCACTGTAACTATGGCTTTGTAACAAACTCTTTCTTTTTACCTTTAAGATCAAATCTGCTGTTAAGATTGGGGTTTTTTTCCCCTCCACTTGACCTTTCCCTAATATTTTATGTAAAAATTGCAAACATAAAGCTCCTCCAGAAGTGGCATGATGTAGTCTAAGCCATAAGAAAATTGCTCTTCCCCTTCAAGCACTTTATGAAAATATAAACAGGCGCCCCTGAGGGAAGCCACAGCAGCCTCCTCCTTCCCCCTCCCACAGCTTTACCTTCCAAAAACCCCAAAGGAGCCACTGGAGGCCGGTGTGGTCACGGCGCGGGACCCTCCTCCTCCCTAGCCCACCCTCTCTGACCCTCTGGGAGCTTTCAGCAAGACTCCACTCCCCAGCGGCCCCAAAATCCCCGCATGCCCCTTCCCGCCCTCCTCTTCACAGAGGCAAGTGGCCAGCAGCCTGCCAGCCTCTGCCCCTCTCCTCATCACCACGTCCTTGCCGAAGCTTGCTGTGGGCGCCGGCATCCCAAATGTGGGAATTTGTGTCCGCCCTGCTCCCAGTACAGCTAAGCATAGCCGTCCACGTGTACGACAGCAGGTCTCCTGACACAGGCAAGGCCTGCAGAGGGCTATTTTCACCCTCATGTTGCTTCCTCTGCCTCTAACATCATTGTTATTTTACCTCAGCTCATTCCCGCTCCGCTGTCTACTGTTTTCTCCCACTCCTGCTGTCCAGCTCCGTCCCTGTCCTTCATCTCTCTATTTTCCCACTGAAACTGGTGATGCAAGAAGGAAGAGAAAATACGTAGCAAACCTCGAAGTATCTGTAAGCCACAAGTGACGCGTACTGAAAACTTCCTCGCCAGGGTGCAATTTTATCTTTGCCTCCTTTCACTCGTGCCTTCCCCCACACCAAGGGCTGCTACGCCTTCCTTGGCTTTCTCCCTCCCCGGCCCACCGCATATTCCTGTATTTGCAGCCAGATCCTCCCCTTCCTGAGTGGAAAACCACAGGAAAGATGAAAGCGAATGCTTGAGGTTCACCTGGCAGAGCTTCCCCTGCGGTCATGTCCCAGCTGGGCATGGAGACCGTGGAGGAGCCCCATGCCCCCTGCAAGCAAGCGGCAAGCATGCCAGGGAGCCTGGCCATGAGCTAGCCGGTCGATGGCCCTGCCATCTTGCAGGGAAGCCCTGCCTGTGCCGAGGCTGCCAAAAGTTATTTTGCAGTTAGAGAAGGCTACAACCTTATTTATTTGGCGATAACCTGGTGACAGCAACACAGAGCCAGGGCCCATTTGCAGGGCTTGTAATGCTTCATCTCTGGCGCTCACAGGTCTCAAATTGTGCGCTTTGTTATTGTTTGGGATGTCTTAATAACACGTTACTGCAGTGCTCTGCCCCACAGAAGGGAAAGGAGTAAAGGGCTTTACCTAAGACATGCAATTGCTACTTACAGTTAAATACTGATTTAGCTTTCCCAGTGTTTGCCAAAATTTATCCCAACCAGGTCCTGTCTCAGCTTTTGATGACAACAGACATATTTCCTCGCATTCAGACTGAAGTGTTGATACTTATCAGCAAAGTTAATGACATTTGACCTTTTGGAGCAAAGATCGTCCATCAAAATACTTGCTGACTTGAGTCACCGAAGTCAGCAGAAACCTCCTCTCACAGAAAGCAGGATGAGTTTTGTGTGCTCTAACACGCTGTTTATTGATTTTTCAAGTATTATCGTTGGCCAACAGGGAAGAAATGCTTTCCAACTTAATCACAACAGTTAGAGCAGATTATTTGGTTAGGTAAGAAACTCTGACGCTTTCTGCAGACAGCATCCTCCACATGAACCCCTTGAAATTGCAATCTCGTATATTCCCATAGTCAGTTCCAGTGCAATGTAACCGCTATTAAAATAAACATTTTTGATTACAGGACTACCCAGGCTAAGCTTCACTTCTTAAATAATTTCACTAGCTAATTCACTTAAAAAACTCCTGTAGACAGCGTTTCTGTCCCTGTTAACAACCACAGTGTGGCGACAAGGTACAGATTTGTCTCGGATTTCTTTAATTGTAAAAGCCTTTTGGCTTAAAAATAACTACAAAAGACACATTACGGTTAGCTCTGTGATCCCTGCCCAGCCTGGGCAGGCAGCACCGGCCCATCCCATACATGAAACATGTTGCAAAGTTGCCAACTGTTACTGAAAAAGAAAAGTTTTATAGTCTTTGTTCATTTACAAGAGAATAGGATTTTGAACGCTTTCATTTTCACATATCCAATTTTCATGCATGACACTTCCAAAAGCGGGACACCTCAACAGCAAAGAGGCATCCAAAACTCACTCACAGTTTTTGGAAACCGTGCTGTCAGTGTTATACCACCCTTTCACACCAGTTAATAAACAGATTTTATTTTTTGCAGTGCACTCATTATAATTTGGCAGAGTTTTAAGCTAAGCCCTCCAACGTTTACTCACGCAAAACATGAAGAGGAAAGCAAAAAAAGCATTTAGTTGTCCCCTGTTTCTTTCTGGGCAAGCTCACCGCTGGGCAATGACTTTGAGAGAGTCCCTCAGAAAATGCAGTTGCTAGATGCGAGCACGTGAATTCGTGCTCTCCCACCCAACCCTCGGAAACTTCCACCAAACAATTTTCTTGTCTCGGTGTGCCGTGCTCCGAGCCGGTTTCATTTTTAGAAGCCAGGTACGAGCTGAGGCCTAAGCACTGCGCTGTAAAGCCATACAAATTACGTGAAATATGTTGTGCGGTTGCTTATTCTCCAGACTGTGCCACCTCCTAAATGCCTTTTATTCCCTTTTCTACAAGTTTGTCTTGTTTTCTTTTCTTTTAAACTCTGAGTCAATATTGTATTGATATAT